AGGATTTGGAAGTAACTTTTGGTACATGTTTCGTATATTTTTGATGTTTCGGGTTTGTAATTATTACTCGTATGTTGGGTAGTTATACTATTGTCTCGACTTTTGGTTTGTAAAAGTCTTAGTTTGTAAGTTGTTTAAACAATTTTCGAGGGATGTTTGACTTACCGATCAAACTAAACTTAACATTTGGTGGATAATTAGAAATTGTATCCCGTCTTGGATTCGGGTGAACTTCTTTTTTTTATCGGTTAAATATTCCCGACAATTTGTATTTTTATTTTAGTGTAATGAATCGATGTTACAAAGAGGGACATCCGGTTCTTCCATAGACTAAAGTTGTCACGAATGAACCAGGGAGGTTTGGCAAGAGAGCCATTATCTTGAACGTGTGTGTTTGTGTTTTGCAAAACCATTTAAAAGCAGTAAAATTGTCTAGAGAAGAAGATAAAGTAATGCAGAAAAACAACCAAACAACTTAGAAAAGACAGAACACTGCTCTGATACCATTTGTTGGTCCCGTAAGGGTTTACAAGATATGTATAACATTTTGTAGAAGAGGGGTGAATACAAACACAGTATTTTCAAATTTAAAATATATATTGATAAGAGAAGAGCAATACAGATTTTACAAGACTGTTTGCAAAAAGATAAGGTAAGAAAACCTATCTAAACAATATTTAGTTACACACTTAAACTTAGCAAATAAGAAAAGATTTGTTGTAGAAGAAATAGAAGAAAGTAAGTTCTTTCTGGGAAAGAACTTGTTTAGAATGCAATAAAAGGGATTCTAACTTGCTCTTGAAGATGAGCGTATTTGTTCTTAGATGTGTGTTCTTTTACTTAAGCTCAAGGATGCTCAGAGTAAGATTTAGGCTTTGAGTATCTCTGCATGGAGATAGAACACATCTACTTATACCCATTGCATTAAATGCACATTTAATACAACGTGGTAGGGTTGGAACGCGTGTCAAGCCTTAAGGGGAAGGGTTGCTACAGTAAATAGTACAAAAGCCTATTCATGAGCAGACATCCTTACCTAAAGTTGGTGGGTAATAGAGTCAACTAGTCGGCTCCATACCGTACTAACGTTTAGAAAGAGTATGGATTTGTCCTTTGTGTGTATAAGGACAAGACAACAACAATCGTGCTTAGCAAGCTTCTTTTGATCGCTGAATGCTGGAATAACCTGAAGGTCTCTTCAGCATTCGTTGAGGCTTGGGCAGTCTTCACACATATGTAGACATGCTTGTAATCACTGAGTACCGCTTCAGATCACGTACTTGCCAGTCTCTAGTCTTCAATTTCAGTCTTCGACATTGGCTGAAGGTTCTTTGGTGTGAGTGTTATCTTCTTGAAGTATCGTTGTTGCTTATTGGATTTTACAATACAAGTTCTTCAGCGATCACTTAACAGACTCAGTGAAGATCGCTGGAATTGAAAAGACAAAAACATAAATACTTCGTATATGGGTAAAAAGGGATTATCATCAAATCACTTAGAGAGAGGATCAACAAAGACAACACTCACACCAAAGAACTTTCAGCTAAAGTCAAAGACTGAAACTGAAGATTAGAGACTGACGAGTACGTGATCTGAAGCAGTATTTAGTGATTATAAGCCTACCTACATGTGTGTGAGGACTGCCCCAGCCTCAGTGAATGCTGAAGAGACCTTCAGGTTATTCTAGCATTCAGCAATCAAAAGAAGCTTGCTAAGCACGATTATTGTTGTCTTGTCCTTATACACACAAAGGACAAACCCATACCCTTTCTAAATGTTAGTACGGTATGGAGCCGACTAGTTGACTCAATTACCCACCAACTTTGTGAAAGGATGTTTGCTCATGAATAGGTTTTTGTACTATTCACTGTAGCAAATGACAAGTCTTCCCCTTAAGACTTGACACACGTTCTAACCCTACCATGATGCATTAAATGTAACGAGTATAAATAGATGTGTTTTATCTCCATGCAGATATACTCAAAAAAATTCTTACTCTGAGCTTTCTTGCGTTGAAGTAAAAGAACACACATCTAAAAAATATACGCTCATCTTCAAGAGCAAGTTAAAATCCCTTTTATTACATTCTAAACAAGTTCTCTCCCAGACACAACTTAATTTCTTCTATTTCTTTGACAGCAAATCTTTTCTTATTTGCTAAGACTAAGTGTGTAAATTTAGATTGTTTAGATAGGTTTCTCTTATCTTATCTTTCCGCAAACAATCTTGTAAAATCTGTATTGATCTTCTTTTATCAATATATATTTTAAATTTGAAAATATTGTGTTTGTATTCATCCCCCCCTTCTGCAAACTGTTATACATATCTTGTAGACCCTAAAGGGACCAACAAGATGGCACACCGAAAAAACTTGCCCGAGGTTGAGGTCGGGGGGCGATTCAAACCAACCGATACTTGACACTTAAGCTCAAATATGGTCGTATGATGCCGAGCTGAACCGACAAATGACAACATAATGTGTCATTCAAGTCAGGTTGCCTTTTGGACATTTCGACAACCCTCACGTTACAAAGTTGATTCAAAATACGCTACAACCATGATACAAGCCGGTAAGTCGTCAAACCCTTAGACGTGATGCGATAAAAATATGGAAAATGTGTCGGGCTGAAATGCAACAAATGTTTTCCGTTTTGCCTAACAATATTTCTTTAACGTGTGATGTATGGAGTGCACCATACGGATTGCCGGTTTCGTATATATGCATAACGACACATTGGGTTGAGCCTACAACATGGCATTTATTCAAACCTGTAATCGCGTTTGAACCGTTTGGTGTGCCACATTCGGGAGTACGTCATTATTAAAAAAATGTCTTGCATTTTATAATTTAACTGCTAAAATAATTAGTATTTCATTTGATAACGCTAGTAATAACAATGCTTTTGTGG